AACGCCTTCTGCGGAGCAATTGTAGAACACACATGCACGCAGGCGCACCGAGTCCCTCTATGGCGCAGGTTGAGTCTCAAGGTCCGAGCGCCCAGCAGCCTCCACTGTGCCAAATGGGTCCCAATGTCTGGGTTCCACGACACCACCTGCGTGTCCCAATTCATTCCCCGACCTTTCAAGCCGAAGCAATCCGACCGGAAAGCCCAAAGGTCTTCTGGACAACACCTGCAGAAGGTCCCTGATCCTGGGGTCGCAAGAAGGTAGAGGCAGTGCCCCTGTGACTGTGGAAAGAGAAGTCGCTGGGCGACGTGTTCTTTTTTTGTTGTTGAACGCAGATAGGGCCAGAGTTTGTTTTTCCTGCACCTTGGAATCTTCCTGTCCTCAACTTTTCAGATGGCTGTGGCAACGTCCCATGTTGAGAGTTTTATCTTTGCCTGCAGCTTCTTTTGCCATACTGGGTCGAGCTGTCCTGCCGCGTTCCAAAGGAACGTGTCTTAGGAAGGCAACCGGTCAGGCGTGGGCAGAAAGGCAGGGCTCTCGAAAGCTTGCGGCCGCGAAACAGATTTGACCCTCCGTTTTTTTTTTTTTTGTGGCTTTAAAGGGAGGCTCACCATTTCGGGGGGTCCCCAAAAAAGACACGCCCACTTGGGATCCTGATGTGCAGTTGTGCTTCAAGTCCATCCCTATCGGACCTTATTTTCCGTTTTGGTGGATGGTCCGGCTGGTCTGATCTCTGTCGGGAATGGAGCCAAAGCCTCAGGGGCAAACGCAATGAACAGCATCCGTCCGGTTCTTGCTTCGTCTGTTTCATCTTGCACGGGATCGGCATGAGGTCGGAACGAGTTTGAAAGGAGCCTGGCAATCTGGAATCAGGAATTTGCAGGTGGTTCAACCCTAGACCGGAAAGTAAGGGGAATGACCCACGTTCGCTTCTGAGAGCCAAGGGTCCGACAAAGATGTCCGGCTCGTGATGCGGCCGGGTGCCCTTCCGCCGTCTCAAGCACGGGCAAGCCACGAATTTCCGTGCCACTTGCGCCATGGGTGCGGTGTCGATGAGGACGGGTCACGTTGCTTTTTCAGGGAAAGCAATTCTCGAACTGCTCAGAGCTTTGTTTGCATGGTTAGACAAGCTGCGCTGCCCACTCACTCTGCCCACCAACCCTAGCAAGACTGTTACCCTCATTCGATTTACTGGATTTTTAGGGTCAATCAAGGGATGGGGCGTACTCCAAACTCCGATCAATCTTCACCATTTCAGGAGTCCCTGTACATCCCGAAAGCCAGCCAACCCCGCTCAAACTTGCTCAACTAGCCTTGAACTACCCAAAAGATACCCAAAATCAACCCGAGTCCCACTCCCATCTTCCACAGTCTAATGTAAACCCGCCTAAACCCCCTCCTAAACCCCGCTGTACCTAGCCTGAATCAGCCCAACAGCACCTCCAAAACCCAGTGTATTGAGTATCATATTATGGACACCCCCCTTTCAGACCCCCCCCTTTCTGAGTGATTCCAGTGGTGTTTTTTTACAGCTGGCTCGGCGATGGTATGGAGTAGCGCAATGCTACTCGGACAGTATAAGACCAGGGTACCACCGGTACTGCTCACGGCCGTGCCGTGGAGACCGCGCTCCCTTCCAGGTCGCCGCCGCCGCAGCCGCCGGCGCCGGCGCCGGTGTTCTACACAAAGGACTTCGCACGAATTTTGTGTCGTTGGTGGTTCCCAGCCTTCCGGTTCCTTAGGTTTTTCGATCTTTTTTGGGAGTGGTAGTTGTTTTTCCCCCCAAACCACTAAAAGTTCTAAACTTTTAGCAGAAGATCTGAGACGAAACAATGTGAGTTTTCTGCCGTTTTCACCGTAAAACTAGAGCAAGAAGGATGCTCCCATTTGCATCAGCGCCTGACCGAGTCAAGTCAAGTGGCCAGCTGACACAATCAGAAACCAAGAATTATGGAGGCGATGCACTTCTTGGCTCTCTTTGCAGTGGAGAGATGCCTTGTTTGGCCACAGCTTTATGTTTCATTTGCTACCGCTCTGCTTGGTGTAGGTGCTTTCACCTCCAAAGTAGGAGCGCTCGTGCGGATGCTCTTTACGGTTCACGAAACGGTCCGGTGCCATTACGATGATTGTATATTTCTCAGATATACCGTCTTTACTGCGTTTCTCAAGGGTGCATTCAACGCGAATCGGCGCAACGGCCCAGTGCAGGAACATGCATGCATGTGATGTGTGTCTGTAAGTGGATGCGCGCGCGTGCACGTCAGCATGCACACGCGCATGCCCATGAACAGGTGCATGCACAACACATCGCCGCTCCCCGACTCGCCGAGTCATTCCATGCCATACATTGCCAAGCTATGCCATATGGCGTAGCATGTCCTGATCGCCTTGTGTGAGTGGGCGCGTTGGTCTGTGGGTGCCTGGGTGCGCCTTTTGCGCCTTGATTGCCCAAGCAGGCTTCCTCGCGGAAAAGTCTGGCAATGTTTTTTGAGCCCCTTCCACTCGCTGCAGGATCTCCAATCTACGCATGATTTGTTGCATCGTTTGGATTGTTGCGCTGAATAGCTTGAGTTTGTTTTCCCATCTGGTTGTGTGTGTGTGTGTGTTTGCTTTGGGAGCGCAATATGGCCATGGTTCAAAGCCAATGGTACCATTTTGGGATAGGTGCACCACCCATTTTAGTCTATTTTACTGGGGATTGGGATGTTCACTGGGGGTACGATTTGGGTTTTTGACCCACGGCCAGATGCTTTTGCAGCCAAGAACGCCAGGAGTTCCTTGAGACTCATGGCAGCAGTTCCAGCCCACCGGCTCCTGCGCAGGCGGGCAGGGGCTGAATTTCGAATGAGGTCATGCCGAATCCTCCCGCAGGGCTTTGAATCGAGCTGCGTATTTTCAGGCGGCACCTGGGGCTTATGTTATCACGAGCTCACCACGAAGTAAGTCCTTTACTTGGGGATCGCCGTATGTCCAGGTGTTGGAATTGCAGAGTTTGCCGAATGGAATCCAAATCGGACAAGGAATCGTCCCGGTTTCCATAGCCATGCAAGCCTTTGTTGGTGGTTTGGATTGGAGATTTGAGCCCCTGACACCTAGAAACCAAATGGGAAACTGCCCTGAAGCACCAAACAGCCGGGCTCCATGCCACCAAGCCAAACCACCGGGCTCGGGGCTCCAGCAATTGGAGGCAAGTTGACCTATGGCTGTGGGTCAAAGCCAATGGGATCCCATCTTGGGGTGGGTGAATTCACCACTTTAGGACCTATTTGAGTGGTTGGATTGGTTGATGTTCGCTGTTGGATTGGTTTTTGGTTTTGACCCATGGCCATATGGGGCTCCCGTGAAGCATCACCATTGGCGAGCGCGAGGTGGACCAGGTGGAGGTGTCAGCGCGTGGAAGCCAAGGATCCGCGGAACAGCCCAGGATCCGCGAGTTTTGATGGCCCGGCGCTGCTTGTTTTTGTTCTTTGGGGGCGAGCAAAGGAGCAGACGGCTCCACCATTCTCCCAGGTTTCGTCGCGAACGAGGAAAGTTTGGAGGTGTCCGCCCACCGGGCGGTTGCGGAAAGGGCATGCCGCGTTTGACCAAAGGGCGGGCCCTACGGCCTTGAGCCTTCCGTTGGTCGGCTGAGGCCACCGCCCGTCGGTGAGGCGGAGTTGAAGGCGCGACTTCTGGGCGGTCGAGTTTTCCGAGTTCCGAGGGCCTTTATGGGGAAGGCCAGGGTTTGATCTTGCTGCGATAGGTAGGGAATGAGAATTGGAATGACCCCAAGAACAACCATCCGGCTGGCGGGTTCTTTTAAGGGAATTCATTCCTAACACCCTGGGTCATTGCTTACTGAGCGCCAGCAAGTTATAGTTATAGAGCTCAGTGTGGGAGTTTGGAAGGCCGGCCTGTGCTTTTCTTTCAACATGTTGCTTTCCGAGCAGGTTTGAGACGCAGATTGCGAGCCCAAGAAAAACCGGGGTTTGCTCCTTCCAAAGTCCTGGCAACCCACGAGGAATGATGGAAACTAGAGGACACAATGAGACACAATATTTGATGGTGCTCAAAGCGTCATGCTTTGGCTAGAGTTGCAAACGTATTTGTGCAGGTTGCCGCATTCTGGCTTGCAAAGACATGCGAAGGACGCCACCGCCCTGTTCAATCTGTTCCCTTGTTTAAATTGTGCTGCATGGATGTGGGTTTACAGAGGGCCCAATTTTGAGAAACACCCAGCAACTGCAGCACAGGCCAAGCAAATCAATATGCAGTGGTTCCCTGATTTTTTTGCGCGCCAGAAAGAGCGTTGGAGACCTGTTTCGCTTATACTAGCAGGAAAGCCTTTGCCACATTGCTCCGGCACAGCACCTTGATGAATTCGCTTGGTCAAGCGCATTGCCGTGTGCAAAGAGATACTCTTGGGTGCTGGTTTGAATGTGCCTCTTCTTGTGGCAAGCGGATGATTTTTTCAGGCTCTTCACGTGACTTGGCAGGAAAGCTTGGAGATTCCATATGGCTTTGCACTCTTGGGGTCATTGCCCTGAAATGTTCAGTCAGCCCGTTTGGCGTCAGGTGGGAGGGGCTTGCATGCCTGCAGGTTTTAGGTTCAGACCACTGAAACGGTTTCAGGCGTACACCTTGTGAAAGTCAAATTCTCACGACGCAAATCACCGCCAGAACCTGCTCCAGCTACACCGCACGACAATCCAGCGGGATGATTTGCACATGGTACTTGTTTCAAATGACTGATCTGTATTTCACGGCTGGCCTGGCCCCGGCAAAGCCAAATGCTTTGGGCATTTCGCGTCTAAATCCACGGCTATTGCTATGTTTTGGCTCAAGGGCAGCGTACTGCAATTTAAGTCACCAGGAATTGGACTGCAGGTAGTCCATGTTTCCGTTTACCGATCGGGCAAGCCATTTTGGGGTTACCCTATGCTTGACAACCACAGCCATTTCTCGACGCACGATCATAAGCCGAGCTTTCCTCTTGCCAAATCGGATGTGAGCCCAGCGCCATGACTGTCCGAGCAAAAGCTGGTGCTCGCGTCAAGGCCGGTGGCTGTCGGGCGGTAGAGTTGCGCCAGAGGGCAGTTGTTGGACAAAAGGAATCAACGGGCGAGCCTGGAGACACATCTCACTCTCAATCCACTGCAGGGTGGGTGATATCCTTTTGAACGTATCTTTTCCAAGCTGCAGCATGGGACATTCCGCACTGTTGCCCCATGCCGATACCATGTTCTCGGTTGTCAGTTCTCTCAACATTCTTGGATAGCTACAAACCTCCAAGGCCCAGATTTTCAACTGCACAGCATGCATTTGGATACGTCACGACATCCTTACCATCATATCTCCTACGAGCTTGTATTTCCCCAATACACGCTGTCTATCCCGAACCGCTTGAACAGACACAAGCACAGCACTCGGGACTTGCCCCTGCCCAAGCAGTGTGTGAGCAAGGTGAGGTTCAGGCCGCCACTTGCCTCAAAGTTCCCGTGCTGGCCTTCGTTAGAACCCCCAATCACCTAGACCTCCTGGCGCCGTTGCTCTCTGTCTAGATTCCTTTCAACCATCGCTTTTTCAACTTGTTTTTGTTTGGCAGCTTTCCGGAAAGACGGACGCCTGGACATGGGGAGGGTACGCTTCGACTGGAACTGCGATGCAAAGCCGGGGCAAAGCCAGGAGTGCACGGGCGAATTCGAGGTCTCCAACTTCCAGGTGACCTGCGCGCGGGCGCTTAAGCGGTGGCTTGTGGTTCAGAGTGCGGCCTGGCTAGATGGCATGCTTTCCAAAGAGCATTTTTGGATTCCTGATCCTTCGGATCGTTTGAAGTTTTCTGTTGCTGCAAAAAGGAACGACATGAAGCTCTGACTTCATTTTCCTGCGGATTCCAAGCTGGAGTGCCTCTGTAGCGACGAAGCGTCGCATTGCCCAGGGTGCCGGGGTTCGAGAGAAGTCGCCTTGGTGAGAAGCGTCTTGTGGATACGGCCGGCAGATGAGAAGTGGGCATGTGGGCGATAGGTCGCACCTTGCTTTTGCCTGCACGCGTGACAGGTGAATAGTCCACTGAGATTGCAGGATATCTGAGGGAGCAAGTGGAACGGAACAGTGTAGCAGCTCGATGGGCAAGAGGACTCGGACTTTGGCTCTGCTCCTCAGAACTCTCAGTTTGCGCTTATATAATAGCCTGCTTGTGCTCAGTAGGGAAAGTGGGAACCAACCCAGGGGTCCCTTTAAAGGAAACCACAAGGGATGGTTTATAGGGGTTATTTCAATTCTCATTCCCTGCTGAGCACCAGCAACACGGGCTTCTTTTCCTCCCTTCGTTTGCTCCCTCGCGTGAGGCCACGACCAAGACAGTGTCAGAAGGCAAGCAGGCTGGGCATTGGCCATTGGCTGTTGGCTTGTTTCCTTTCGTGATGTTATGCGAAGCCCTGTGCGGATCAATCAAGCAAGGTGGTACGCTTTGGGAGTGGTGTAAAAGGAATGATGTGCCGAGCTTTTATCGAGTTATCAGCCATCAGTGTAGTTGCTGTGAAGTATCGATGGCGGCTTTCAGACTTAGTCGCCCTGGGTGTGAGCTAAGCCAGGCAGGATCACACTTGTTTGTTCTCTTTTCGTCCTTTAAATGCGGCGCACGTGACCGATGCTTGAGCTAGTTCACTCAGATCTCTGGGAATCCCTCCCCCCCTGGAAAGAGAGAGAGAGAGAGGGAGTGCAGCCATGAGGACTGTCGGGAGATCGTCTCCGGGCCAATTCTAGTGGCAGCGGGCACCCAGGAAAAGGGGGGGTAGCGGGGTGGGGGCATGGCTCGAATAGCCCAAGGCCCCACCAACTTCACATCTAGAACGGCGTAGCCAGTTGGGAGACGGGCAGAGACCTCACAAACCCGTTTTGGGGCATTTGCCCCCCCCGACCTTTTCAGCAGGTCTTTGGAGGTGGGCTGACGCTAGGTTGCTGTTGTGCAGGTGCAACTCAAAAGTCATAGAACTCCTCCACATGCTTTTTTGGGCAGGGATCTGTCGAATAGGACGCACTGCAGTTTTAACATTCAGGCGCAAGTTTGGGCTTGATACATCAATCAGCCCAACGAGCAACTCGTTTGGTGAAGTGACCGAATCATTGAGCCGAAGCGCAAGAGCGCCCATTCGAACCTCACGTGTTCGATGCCGCTTGAGTTCGCAATGGAACCGAGGCTCAATAGCCCTTGCTCGGCTGTGGTGTGGATCATCAGAGGGAGGTCCGCCTCAAGGACATGGACCAGATGCCTAGTGTCCACGGATGTCTTTTGGTTAGCAGCTGTTTTCGCTTCTTCACGGATTCTTTTACAAAGGAAGCCTCCCTTTCTCCCCCCTTAAATAAGCTCCCCCACCTCCCTTCCCACCCCCTCCCCCCGGATGTGTGTTGCGCGTCCGACGAATCTGAGGCCAAGCAGTACACCTTCGGCATCGCGGTGGCCTGGTCAGTGAAGGCCGATGGCAGCGTGGAGGACAACGGGCTTGCCGAAGCGGGGCCCACGAAGCTTCGTGGGGCCCCCCGAAGCGGGGGGATTTGGGGGCTATGGTTGGACCCCCCAAATCTGCACTTCCCGCTTTCCTGGACTAAAAACGCACTTTTTGTGTTTGGGCCATTTTGGTGGTAACTCAGAAGTTCAGACGTTTTTTGGCCAATCCGCTCAGGAAGTGAGACATGGTGGGGGTCCTTTTGGGTTCCCCTTTAAACAACACGAGGATGGGGGCCCTCAAAAAGGGATAGACCCACATTCCCCGAACTCGGGTTGTTCGAACAGCACCTTTCGGGCCTAGAGGCGTTGACTTTTGGTGGGGCGATGTTTGAATTTGGCCTTGAGACAGCCAGAAATCTCATGCATTGGGGAAATCACAGGATTCGGGTCCTAAAGGGCCCTACGGGTTTCTATTTCGTTTTGATTTTTATCATGTTCTGCACAAAGCGTGAGGGTAGGCTCGTTTTGTCATTTGCAACTTGCGATCGCATGTGGCAATTGCACTTTTAAGAGGTCACTGTTCCAGTTGGATTGAACATGATTTGTAGAGCCTGTGAATAGACGCCGGGAAACAGCACGGGAACCGCGCCCTCCTCCTGCTTTACTCGGGAGTGCATTTTGTTTGGTATCGGCGGTGTCAAGTTTCGGACAAGCCACATTCAGAAACGCAAGATTCGGAAAACTGATCTCATGCGAGACTGCAAGGCAGCTGTGCAAAAATCCGGGGGGGAAACAGGGTGCAAGCATTTGTGAGCACGCGTGGTGGCGGCTTGGGAGGTTTGCCAGAGGGCTGGTGCGCTTGGCACAGTGAGGGTACTTCGGGGGAGTACGGATTTCAGAATGCCGCAGACGCGAAAATTGGGACAAACCTTGAGAGAAGACACGTGCATGAAGACAGCCCACCCGCAAGATTTGGAACACCCCGATGCACAACTCAGAAAGTAGAGACGAAATGGGAACGGTGGAAGGTGATGGCTGACGGCTGTTTGGCGGGGACCATTGCGGGGATGATGACGTTTGGGACGGTCAGGGCGGTTGTAGCTATGGGTTGGCATATGGTTAGTTACGGCTTGATTAAGTCGTGTGCTTGAGGTTGGTTTAGGGGTAGGCTTACTTTAGTCTGGATTGCAGGGCCGGCCAGAGTCGGCTTAGGCATGGTTCGGGCTTAGTTGGGTTGGTTTAGGGCTGGCTCAAGGTGGTTTTAGGGTTCAGTCAGGTTTAAGGGTACATGTGGGCTTCATTCAGGGTCAGAGCAGTCCGGACGGTAGGGAAGTCGGGAAGACCGGCACTGTTGGGCCACCTTTGGGACGGTCGCTAGGGCTGGGGCGGTTGTGATGGTCGGGGCAGCAGGCCGAAAAGGCTTCACATGGGATGGGGCGGGAGGTAAACATTTCTCGGGCCTGATTGTTTGATTCTTTATGCATGCGACGACCCTGCAGGGCATGTGCTCCCTCAAAGAAGGCTCGCTCTACGTGTATCGGCCATGTAGCCAGATTTGCCACGTCTACTTGTGCTTTGATTCATGCCAAGTGTACACACATATGTATGCTCATATTCCGCATTCACAAACACATCGTTGAAGATTGCGCGCGAACGATTGTTGTGTTCAGAACATGTTGTGGTAGACGGTGATGCACAAACCTCGTTCTCCGGCAAGGACTGGTTGCATTTGTTGAGCTGCCCAAACAAGGTCGCTGAAGCCGGACAGTGCCTCATTCAAACTTCTAGGGCGCATTCTCTCGACCCTCAGGAGAACAAGAACCTGGGGGTCCACGTGAAGCGTTTGGATGATAATCCGGAGGTGCGGGTTGGGCGTTCTGATCAAAGCAAGGTGCTTGGATTGGTTTATGACTCCCTCGTGCGAGAGGTAGCTTGTTCCCGCTGGACTAGATGTTCTCGTAAGGATCCCTGCAAACTTGCTTTGCCCAAATTTGGCCGGGAAGGAATCGAACGGAATCTGGGAGAAATTGAAAGGAAAGATGGTCCGGAAAGGAGTTTGCATGGCAGAATTGGTTTGGTTGTCTAAGGAATGGCCGATCGAAGCCCATCATCAACCCAGCAACCCTAAACCCAGCTTGCTTCCAAGCTACATGTGCCCGAAGAAGGCGTTTGCTGGATGTTTTCCGTTTTTCGCTTAAAGGAAACCTGCCGAAAACCAACCCACCACCAAGCCTAAGCCCGAACTCTAAATCCGCTGAAAAACCCACAGTCAACCAAGCCGAAAGCAATGTCTTTCCACCCTCAGTCACCCGAAACCCAGCCTGAACCCACCCCGAACACGCCCTGATGCACCCTGAACCCAGCCTACAACTAAATCGTCTGCAAACCAACCCCACCACACCCTCCCTGATCCTGAACCAACCCTTAACCACCGCTACGCCAACCCAAAACCACCCTAAACCCACCGTCAGCCAACCTCAAGCCCTTCACAAAACTCACGAACGCATCAACTAGTCCAAAACTCCAGCTCAAGTCCGGACGACGCGGGCGAATTTGCTAAACACTGCTACAGAACAGGAGGCGTTGACGCTCAAAAGAGAGAGCTCAACAACTCCTCGATTCATATCTTGGTGCTTCCCAGCCATCCCCTTAGCTTTGTAGGTGTTTTGGGTTCAGTGTTTCTTTTAGAAGGGGGTCTGAAAACGGACAGATCCTTGATCCCCCGGTTGCGACCTGGATGGCCCAGCCTTCACTTGTGGGCTGGTTTTCGTTCCATGCCTTTCCACCGTTTGTGATGCGGTTTAAAAGGGAAGCCCAAAGGAAGCTCATGCTGAGGGCTGACCCTTCCCATTTCGAGTTGTCTTCACCTGACTTGGATAAAGTGGATATAGCAAGGGCTGCAAGTTTGCTATCGAATTGCATTCACTTGGGTGTTGCTCAAAATGCAGATGGGATGCCTTTGTGGACCCTTTTGTGCTCCCCTGCAAAGATGCACATAAAGAGCACTGGGGCCCAATTCCGGACCATCGAGGCCCTTATATTTTGAACACTCCTCGTTTCGGGTCCCAGGAAGAACTTTCTCCAGCCTTGGGTCACATGGCGGTCCCATCTGCCAGGAGTGCAACATCTCCCTAGAGATCACAATCCTGAACCGGATGAAGGGCTTCCACATGACCCTGCGCTGGTCTCAGCCGTATGCCATCATTGACGAGGTCCTTTTTAGACTCCGGCTTCAACTCTTCCACGGTCGCTCCGAGCTTGTGCTGAACTGCAACCCCCTTGAACCGTAACCCTCAAATTCAGCTTCGGTTCTCCAGCTTGGAGGCCCAAACGCTGAGGTGCGACCCCAGCTACCACGGCATCTCCAGTGGCAAGGTGTGCCGCACCCAACGTGTTCGCACCCGACGTGTCTTTTTTTTTGCTCAAGTTGCAAATATGGCGGGCCAAAAGGAGCGCTTTACACACTCTGCCCAATGATAAGAAACTGCTCTCAGCACTTCACACACGCCTGCCGGATGATAAGAACCCCTGCTCAAGTGCACTCGCTCAGCACCGCGACGCCTGCCAAATGTCAAGAACCCCCGCTCCAGCGCACTTGCTCAGCCCTGCACACACACTTGCCACATGATAAGAACGTGCACTACGCCTGCCAAAAGATAACAACCCCCGCTCAAGCGCACGCGCTCGGCACTGGACACACGCCCGCACTAGCTTACCGGTGCTGCACTCACGCCGCCACCGCGCTCAAACGGTCTGTCTCAGCACTGCGCACACTCGTGCCCTTTGATAAGAACTCCTGCTCCAGCGCACTTGCTCAGCACTGCAAAGCACGCCTGCGATATGATATAAGCAGAACATGCCTGGAACCAGTAGACTACCATGCTTTTGTCGTCCTCAACAAGGATGACATTCCTTGCGAACTGCAGAGAAGCAGCTGAGGAATTGACCCAAGGTTACAACGAGCGAATGCGTGCGCCCCATCACACGGCCGGGGACGCAGTGCTGAGCAGGTGCGCGCAATGGGTGGCCTATCATTTGGCAGGCGTCGGCGCAGCGGTGTCCTTTGGCAAGTGCGCGCACCGTGCTGAGCGCAGTTTTGAGCGGGCGCGCTTGGGCGAGTGTGCTTCCCGTTTGGCAGGTGTGGGCGCAGGGCGGAGCGTGAGCGTGTGTGCTTGTAGGCCCCTAGGCGGCCTTCACAAACTCTGCAGCGCGTGGGTCAAAGAGCCAACAACAAGAACAACAAGAACAACCAAAGCAACCAAAGCAACCAAAGCAACCAAAGCAACCAAAGCAACCAAAGCAACCAAAGCAACCAAAGCAACCAAAGCAACAAGAACGCCGCCGCCGCCACCGCCGCCAGCGCCACCCGCCGCCGCCGACAACCGCCGACCACGACGGCCGCCACGACAACAAGAAGGAGAACAACAGGAACAACAACAAGAACAAGAGCAAGAACCACAAGCACCACCACAACACCAACTACAACAATCACCACAGCAACCGCACAACAACAACCGTAACAACAACCGCAAGAACGACCGCAGCGACAAACACAACCATAACCGCAGCCACAACCACCGCCGCAGCCACAACCACTACAACAGCCGCAGCGACAGCAACAGCAAGAACAGCTTTCTGCGACAACTTCTTTGCTACTTAGTTGTACCAGCTATCACTGCTACTACTTACGCTCCAATGTCTACGACAACTGTTTAAGCCCACTAGCGCAAGCGCCAGCGCCATCACCACCCCAACTACCGCTGCCGCTGCTACTGCGACTGTGCTACTATCGCTGCGGCTGCTGCTGCTGCCGCTCTTGCTAAAACTAATGTGCTATGGCTACCGCTACTGCTACTGGTAGTGCTGCTGCTACTGCTTCCGCTGTCACTGCTACTGCAAATTCTACGATTACCACTGCTACTTCTGCCACTACTGCTGCAGCTGCTGCTGACACTACTGCTGCTACTGCTACTGCTAGTATTGTTGCTACTACGACGTGTGAGGTGCCGACTTTCGCATATGGTTTCGTGGCCATCGATTGAGTTTGCGCCTGGGTTTCGCACATTTCTGGACTGGTTTGTGCGCCAGAAAGTGGAATGTAACTACTTGATCGTATCAATTGTCGGGGTGCAGAAAAATGTTGCATCCTGGATGTTACAGCTAAACATCTTGAGAGACAGCGCCTTCCGAGTGAAGCACCTTGCATCATGCATGTCGCATCTTGACATCTTGATGTTTCAGAGAAGGAGAGAGAGCATATTCTGAGTGAAGCATGCTGCGCCGGAAAAGTTGCATCAGGACATCTTGACACGTGAAAGAACATCTTCTGATTGAAACGCTGTGCGCTGGTTATGTCTTGCCATCCTGACTCTTGAACAACTTTGCCTTGCCATGTTTGACAAGGAAGAAAACGAGATTGCCCCCCCCCCCCCCCCCGGCAAATCGGAAAGAATGAGCGTACCCCCTCACCCCCCCCCCCTCCCCCCCCCCTCCCCCCCAAAACATGAAACATGAAAAATGGTACAAAACACCACAAGGTAAGTATGCAATGCACCGTACACCTACTACTACTGCCACCAGCGCTAGTGTGGCTAGAGTGAGTACTGGAACCCTGCAACTACAGCTATCACACTGCTACCACGGGCAGAGCGGGGGGGGGGGGAAGTTTCAAAGATATTCCTTTGGAGCGCGTTCTTTCCCCTTCTTTCTCTCTTATGCATTGAACGGCTGAACAAAGGCCCGGGTTCGACATGGCAACACCACCTTCCGCTTCTGGAGGTTGATGTTGCCCAGCTGGTTGAGTCGTTTACCAAGCGCGCAGGCTCGGGGTTGGTCCCGCTCCTTCGACATGCCGGATAGCCGGCGCCACGAGGGTGTCAAGGCAATGGGGAGCTCCAGACCCCGGGTGCGGGGCGAATTTTGGTCTCGCTCACGCAGCGTGAGATGCAAGATGTTCAAACACACGCAGCTTGGACAAGCCTTCAGGCAAATGCTTGTTTGTGGCCTGTCGATATTTGCGGCCGAACAAATACTGTATTCGGGGATTTTACTGTCAAGTTTGATTGGTTTGGCGCTGGTCTGATCAAAACTTGTTTGGGCGACTAGCATTGATTGTCCCACGGTTGCTATGTGTCGCTTTTCGCTAAAATCCGGGTTGAATAGGGTTTGGATGAATGAGTATTTAGAAGATGAATATATCGACTGGCGTATGAAGAAAGATCATCTTTTTCATACTGTTTGTCCAACGAGCCACCTGAGAGAATTCCTTGTTGGCCCTTCAATGCAGTTGTGCTACGGAAGTGCTTGCCTGCTTTCTTGCCATCGGCCCTCGCCAGAACTTGCCACTCGCGGACGTTTTCGATCATCAGGCGCGCAGTGGCTTCACTGGCTGCCAAAGCCCACTTGGTTTTCCTCGTTACGTCGGCAGATGTCTTCACTTAGCCAGGCTTGTGGCTCACGTCAGAGTTCGCGCATCCATTGTAGCGAGATTCATGCGGTATGGATGAACCAATCGACTGGTGCATGTCAGGAGTTGCTTGTGTTCAAGACATGTCTACGTCGTGTTGCGGATGCAGCACACAGAAATGTACCAAATTTGGAGCCACAGTGACTTTGGTCAGTGACATACTGCCTATGTTGGCTTTGCTGCTGTTTAACGGCAACACACACAAATTGCAGGGGGTTCTCTCACAACTTGGCGTCTAGTAGAAGAGCCCACACACACACACAGAACCAAGCCTTAGCATGTGTTTGCGTGTTGATTCTTTGGCTATCATGCCAACCGAATGGGCAAGCCGCACGTAGTTTAGAATGTTTCAGAGGCATGAGGCACTTTCTGGTGCTTGGGAAGCTTTCTTGAAGAGGCGCTGAACCACAAGAGAACCCAGATAGCTAGAACAATACCGTGAGAAACGGCGAAGCGCTGCGCGTTTGATTATTGAAGCACGGGACGAGCAGCCTGCGGTTCAGGACAAAATGGTTCCCTGGTACAAAATAAGAACAAACACATGTTGGTACGCTTTTGCAATGCAGGGCCCCGGAGTGTTGCTTCTCCAATCACCCTTTGCACGGGTTTTTGGAAGCAAACCGGATCCTCTAGCAACGCATCAGTTGGATGGTTCATAGGGGGCATTCCAATTCCACCCATCGAAGCAGCTTCCCGTCCTTCCCGTTTCTCGAGGCCGGGTGGCTGCACAGCGGCTCCCTGCGGGTGGTGGCCAAGCTGTCAGCCCGGACTCTCAAGACAGCCAATGGATGTGGCCCTCCTCAGTGTTTTGTTTGGGGCGAGGGGGGTGGGGGGGAGGTGGGGGGGAGGTGGGGTGTACGGACCAACGTCCGTTATTTTGATGTGTGTTTTTGGATTGAAAAGCACCTTGACGCTTGGGGGTGACTTCTGCGGAGTCGTGGGGCCAGTGCGGTGCTGTCCCGGTGATTGCATTGCCGCAAGATGCCCATTGCCAGCAAGCAAAACGCTGACCCAACCCGGCCGCCCTTTTCCGCAATGTTCCTGTCTGGCAATGTGTCATGGGGCTGTCAGATTCAATTCAGAACAGCAGATTTCGTGTGCTGATTGATTACACCGGCCTTGAAGTGTAGAGTCCCCTTTCCGAGCTTGTCAACCAGAGTTTGAACGCAACTGCAGCGAGCAATGCTGCTGTTTTTGGCAGTGTTTGCTTTGACGGTCACTGCTTGGGATTAGCAAAAGGACGTATTTGTGGCAACCGTAGTGTCAATAGCTGTGGCAGTCGTTGCTGGAGAGTCACGTCTTTTAGAAGGTTCCGGCGCCCACAATTTGTTTGACCACATGTGAAGCTCTTCAAAGCAGTCTTGGCTGGCAGTTAGTCGCAAGACGTCTTTTGTCGAGGCGTTCATTCAGGAGTCGGCGTGAGGGTAGAAAGTATCCAGTAGACTTGCCAAAGGGGCACTTGATTGGTGGGCCCTTCAGAACACCTTGCCAGGATGTCTCGATTCGCTGCGTTCTATGCAATTGGTATGCCTGAAAATGAGGGCCCCCCCTCCTCATTTCCTTGGGGGTGTTCTTTAAAGCCCACTCAAAGGGTACCCCAAGGGTTGCAAGGCGCCCAATGTCCTTGAACCAAGAGCGCGTGGATGGGTGCCGGGGGCTGCTACGGCTAGGTGGTGGTGAGTTTCGACAGCAGCGTCGTCTCCAACGAGGCGCATTGCGGGCTTTTGACTTTCATGTATCGTTTTGCATGGCCCTGCTTGCTTGCCTGCTTGCTTGCGGGGGACCCCTTTCATAATGTATGCCCAGTGGGGGGGGGGGAATGTATGTAATACATTTTCCACGTTTGCCGCCCCAAGAGTCTTAAGCACTTTGCCAAGGCTGAGAACCTAAGAAAGCGATATACAGTCACAGCCTTATGGAAGGTAGGCACAATTGTAGGTAGACAGAAGCAAATGGCTGCAAATGGACCTGGAAAGGTCCGCAAGTTTACGGCTCAGTGTTGGAATGCTTTCAAATTAGGCGTTGCGCGATTCTAGAGGCCCATGTGCCAGCAATCCGCAGCACGCATTCCGGCAGCAGCCCGAGAACGGGCTTTGCCAAAAACATGTCCTAGAACTCGTACGAAGTGTTGAAGTGGGCATGTAGCTGAGCAAGCTTGTCAAGGGCTGTCACTTGCTCCATCTTGTGCTGCCAGGGCTTGATGGAGGCGCTGCCGATTCCTTGATTGTGAGACTCTTCTGCTGCTCAACAGGCGCTGATCTTTGCGCGGACCACGTGGACAAAGCCCAGGGACATATCCGCCAACTTTGTCAAGGTTGCTTCAAGTGGCTGGCCCTGGCCTACTTCAACACCCACTACAATTGTCTCTCCAAGTAGGCCCCCCCCCCCCCACCGGCGTTCAACAGCTCTAGCTCCTGCATCGCACACGTGTAAAAGCACGCGCCTCCGATATTTGAAAGTGTGATGGGGGTCAAACTTCCAGCTCGCTTCGAAGTCAACACTGGGATTGCTTCGGGGGAAGCACCGCGCGCCTTGTTTGGAAGCTTGTCAGTCTTGCTGACGCCACCGTCTTCTGGGGCATCGTGTCGCTCACCTCGGTCTCTTCTTTGAGAAGTAAGTGCCAAGAAGTCAGCAGTACAGACGCGGAGCCTATCTACTTGCTAAGTGGTTTACGACCGCCGCTCGTATAGGGCTTGCTGCATTTTGCTTTGAGTAGGGCCGCCCTGAAGACAAAGTACGTGTTTTCACTGCTTTCAAGTGACGCTGAATCAACGCACTGCCGGATATGAGCCCTAGGAAGCATTCGTTCCAAAGAGTAGTGGTGCTTAGTTTCCTAGCTCAAGCAAGCGCATCGTCGCAGCGCCATGCTGAAGGGCACGAGCTTTGTGTCGTAAGCGAGGCGCAACAGAACTCAGCTAGGCCCCTGTGATCACTTCCTGCTCCGGCCAAGGTTCAAGTCGATCCACACCACCCCGTGGCGATCGTGGGTTCTGAGATACATGGAGCCCTCACTAAGCATGCGAAATTCTGGCAAACAAGCTGGTTTACCCAGAGCAATCGGAGCAATGCGTTGCTATCCACTACGTCAGACCGATAGCCGCAGGCTTTCGAAAATTCCAGCAGGGGAGTGCTGATGTGAAAGCCTGTGTGGGAGAGAGCTAGCTGATTGATCAAGGGACTGTGCCGCCCAGCAGTCCCAGCGTTTCCCACATCATTGGAAGCGGGGCCGGGCTGCGATTTAAATACATTCGTTGCAAAGAAGGCCGCCGGCATCGCGAGGAACTAGCTGAAATGGAAGGGCGACGAGTGTCGGATTCGTTGCTGTCGGGATCACAGAGGTGTGAGAACATCGAACCGGGGCAGGGGTGCCTCTAAATATTTGAGCAGAGCAAACAGATAGTATGCACTCATTGTGCTCCAGGGATTCGCGATGCTGTTGATGCCAGTGTGTGGATCGAGCTCGCGCGACAAATTTGCAAATTCGTCAGAGCGAAAATCAGCTAGACTTCATTGCTGGGAATGCAAATTAGCTAATTCGACAGAGCGAATATCATCTAGACTTCATGCTGGTAATGCTGGCGATGCCGGTGATGCACTCCGTAGATCAAGGCGACGGGTGTCCGTGCGACGAATTTGCTAGTTCGTCAGAGCGAAAATCAGCTAGACTTCATTGCTGGTAATGCGAATTAGCTTTACTTCGCCAGAGCGAATCTCAGCTAGACTTTATTGCTGATAATGCTGGTGATGCTGGCGATGCCGGTGATGCACTCCGTAGATCGAGGCGACGGGTGTCCGCGCGACGAATAAGCTAATTCGTCAGAGCGAAAATCAGCTAGACGTCATTGCTGGCAATGCTGGCGATGCCAGTGATGCTAGTCATGCCGTCTGTAGATCGAGATGACGGGCGTCCGTGCGACGAATTAAGTAATTCGACAAAGCGAATATGCTGCTTGGTGTAGGTATCAGACGCTGTCACTTCGCCGCTCCCACGAGTCCTGGAAACGCCTTGGCTAGTTCCCAGCCCGAAGCGTTTTCAGGGGTCACTTGTTCTTACGCCCGGCGGGCATAAGAACAAGTGGGGGCCAACCGGAACAAGTGACCTGGTCACTTGTTCGCTAAAGTGCCTACTTGTTCTTAAGCCCGCCGGGCGTAAGAACAAGTGACCCCTGACGCAACAATGGCTTTAGCCGCGAAAAACGGCAGCCACTGACAAAACACAAATTAGAAACTCTATTGCAGAACGCCCAAATCACAAAAAATGCAGCCCGACCAAGCAAGCCAGTGACAGGCCCAGGAAAAACTGTACAACAAATTGACACCCACACACAACAACCAAATTAGAAGCCCTAGTTAAAAAGCCCACTTCACGAGAATCATCAGCCAGCCAGTAGGCCAGTGCCAGGCCTTGAAAAAATCCAGCCGCACAAAACACACGGCGAACAAAATAGAATCTTTACATAAAAACCAACTTCACGAAAATCATCAGTCCGACAAGTAGGCCAGTGACAGGCCCTGACAAAAATCCAGCTACGCAAAAAAAAAGGCGGCAACCCCACACAAAAAACTAATTAGAAGCTCTGCTAAAAACTCCCACTTCACGAGAATCATCAGCCAGACAAGTAGGCAGGCCCTGAAAACAATCCAGCTGCCCAAAATAAACGGTGAACAAGTTCAAAACAGTCGCCCTACCTAAAAAAATAAGGTCAGGTGACATCCCCTCATTGGACCCTGGTGGAACCCTGGTGGAACGCTCGTGGAACCTCACCTCAGGGCCGTCCGGGACTATCTGGGCTGAGACCCCAAAGCTTTCAGCTATTGGAGAAAACACCAACTTCACGAAAATCATCAGCCCAACAAGTAGGCCAGTGACACAGCTGGACAAAGAAAGGAAGTGCTACTCAAAACATCCTGCTTCAGGAAAAGGTCGGCTGGCGGGGTCGGGGCCCGACTGCTGGCGTGGTCGGGGCCCGACTGCTGGCGGGGTCGGGGCCCGACAGCACGCACAGTTTCCTTTGCGACCGGGCGCTGAAATGTAACCTACACAGGTGGCTACAAAGGACATCAAAAAACAAGACACGTTTCAATCATGTTCCTTTGTCTCCTGCTCCCGTGCTCTTCTGGTCTCTTGTTTTTTTTGCAAGTGGGATGTCTTCGCCGGGCTTCTGGTTTGTTGTGTGGCTGCCGCCCTTTTTTGCGCGGCTTGATTTTTTTACAGGGCTGTTACTGGGCTGCTTGGTCGGGCTGCTGCTTTTCGTCAAGGTAGAGCTTCTAATTCGCTTGTGTGTGGCTGCCTTTCTTTTGTGCAGATTGATGTTGTTCAGGGCCTGTGGTCGGGCCCCAACTCCGTCGGCGGTCGGGCCCCGACCCCGCCGGCGGTCGGGCCCCGACCGCGTCGCCGGTCGGGCCCCGACCCCGTCCCCGGTCGGGCCCCGACCCTGCCGGCGGTCGGGCCCCGACCCCGTCGCCGGTCGGGCCATGACCCCCTCGGCGGTCGCCCCTTCAATGGTTCTAATTTGCTTGTTGTTTGTAGCTGCCGCCGTGTTTTTGCAGCTAGCTTTTGTTTAGGGCCTGTCACTGGCCCGGGCTGATGCTTTTCGTAAAATGTGATGCTTTTAGTAGCGCTTCCAATTTGCTTGTTGTGTGTGGCTGCCTTTTTTGCGAAGTTGTTTTTCAGGGCCTGCTAGTTGTTTGCTTGGTCGGGGCTGCTGCTCTTCGTCAAGTGGGATGTTGTTAGTGGGGCTTCTGGATTTTTTGTGCGCGGCTTGTTTTCAGGTCCTGTCACTGGTCTGCTTGTTAGGGCAGCTGTTTTTTGTCAACTGTTTGTTGGCAAGTAGAGCCTTTAATTTGTTTGTTGTGTGTCGCTGCGCTTTGTGTTTTTGCAGTTTGTTTTTGTTTCGGGCTTGTCACTAACCCACTTGATTGTTTGTTGATTGTTTTTTTAAAAACAAAATGTGTTTTTTTTTGCGTAGGGCGTCTAATTTGCTTGTTGTGTGTGGCTGCCGTTTTGTTGCGCTAGCAGTGTTTTTTTCAGGCCCTAGCACTGGCCGACTGGGTCGGCCTGCTGCTTTTTGTGAAGTGAGATCTTGTTTGTAGGGCTTGTAATTTTTCTTTTTGTGTGTGGCCCCCGTTTTTTTTTGCGAAGCTTGTTTCTTTCAGGGCCTACTTGTCGGGCTGATCACTTGCGTGAAGTGGGACGTCTTTCAGGAGGGCTCCTAATTTGCTTGTTGTGTGTGGGCGCCGTTTCTTTTTGCGCAGCTGGAGTTTTTCAGGGTCTGCCATGGGTCTGCTTGGCTTTGGTCTCTTGATGTTTGGGGCAAAACCCAGCAACAGCGGATTTTTATGTATATTGGGGGGGGTGCGGTAGGATTGTGGTCGCAGCTTAAATGTATATGTGGGGGCCCCCCCTCCCCCCTACATAGGGGTCCCTCGCTTGCTTGCGTGCTTGCTCGCTTGCCTGCCTGCCTGCCTGCCTGCCTGCCTGCCTGCTTGCTTGCTTGCTTGCTTGCTTTGGTTGGGCGAGCTTTCTGCGAGAGCGAGACTTGTGTTGCCTTCGCGGTGCGCATCTTTTGGCAGTGCGGTCCACGGTTTCAGACTTGCTCTTCGCTTTCCAAGCACAAAGCAAAAAGGCGAAGCTTCATGGTGAGTGTTTGGTGCAGAGGTTTTCCCTTTACCCCACTACAGGTGTCATTGAGCTTGAATGGACATGCCGTAGCTTCATGTGTGACGGACGCAATGTGTGGAAGAAGTGTGTAGGCGATGATTTGCTCGCCCTGGCAGACATGTTTGTAGCATGCAAAATACTGCCAACTGCAAGGGAAAAGAGCCAAATCCCTAGGGCCGACGCTTAACAAACAACCACCTGCTGAAACAAGTCCTTTTGCCCGAAGTCGGCCTTCAGGAAAGTAGCCCTAGTGTTGAACAGGCCTAATGTTGACCCCAAAGAATAAACTGGGGGTTCCCCTCCAAAAGTGACGAATCCCCACTAAACCCAGGGACACCCCCCTATTAATCTGGGGTCACCAGTACACTCAGAGCGCAGGCTGCGTTGGGTCCCTCCGGCCCACCGCGCACGCGAGGCTGGTGGCCAGCAGGAGGTGTGCGAGTCTCTGCAGGATCGATCGGGCGGAGGGATGTGGGCGGCTGGGAATTTCTTGCGGCGGTAAGTTGAGAATGACAACGAGACCGGGCGTTAGGAATGAACCGTTAGGGAATGTTAGGGATTCCCTTAAAGGAAACCATAGTTGATGTGGTTTATAGTGGTCCTTCCCTCCTGGGATTCCCTTACAGGAGACCATAGTTGAGGGTTTATTGGGGGAATGACCCCCCTCATTCCCTGCTGAGAACCAGCGAGATTTGTTGATCGCTGCCTACTGTGGGATTGAGGCTGTTTTGCGAGAGGATGTGAAAAGGGGAGGCCAGGCTACAGGCCGTGGCAGGACGTTTGCGGACGGTTTGGTGTTCATGTAGAAACGTGCGGCTGAGGGGTTCTGCCTCAGAGGGTGGTTGGCCCAACATCACCAAATAGAGACATGTTCAGTCTGAAGCCCTGAACACCTTTTGATTTGTGAACATTTGGGAGGTCTATGGTCAGTTTACGTTGTCGGCAAGCTGGAACGTTCAGCGGCTTGGCTTTGGAGCACATTTTCTACTTTGCCGGACCAGAGTTGCTGTTTGTGCGGGAACGCACTTCGTCAATCGTTGGAACCCTAAAGGCGCAGCGAAAAAGCATTCCTCTGAATCAAACATGATCAAAGTGGCTCGACCTCGCCATGTCGTCACCCCGAGCCGACTGGCAGGCTTTGCTCCAGAGCGGCAGCCTCTCTGACGTGGTGCTCAAGGCGCGAACCGATCTCAGCGGCAAGCCTCAAAAGGAAGAAATTGGAAGGCAAGCAAGGTTGGATTTGGGTAGATATTTTTTTGAGGTTACACTTGTCAGCTAACTTTGAAGGGACACCAGAAGCAAACCGACCATTGTATGAGCGTCTCCCCTATGTTGACATGCCCATTGGTCAGAGGCTGTTTGGTGCTTTTGGTGTCCTCTTGCAAAAACATTCTTCCTTGGTAGTCACAATGGCCATGCCTCGCAAAGGCCAAGCACTTGCTCAAGATGAACTAGGAACAGGGTCCTTGCTTGCTGTCGTCCAAAGACCCCACTTGAGCTGCAACCCATGTGATCATCAACTTTCCAGTTTTTCCCCAACAGCTGAAAGCTTTGGGGTCTCAGCCCAGATAGGCTCCGGGGTGGTCCGGGGCGGCCCTGAGGTAAGGTTCCACGACGTTCCACCAGGGTTCCACCAGGGTTCCAGAAGGGTTCCACCAGGGTTCCACCAGGGTTCCACCAGGGTTCCACCAGGGTTCCACCAGGGTTCCACCAGGGTTCCACCAGGGTTCCACCAGGGTTCCACTAGGTTCTGCGAGGGCTGCGGGGTAGTGCGAGCACTAAAAAGATCACCGCGTGCTGTTGGGGATATCACCTGAGCTTATTGTTTGCACTAGCCATTAGAAGGCATCTTGTCTCAGCCACCATTGCATTCTATTTCCCTATCATAGAAGTTCTGGCTATGCTGCGTGCATCATTCCTTGACTCGCCCCATTGCCTTGGGCAAGCAAGACGCAATCGCCCCATGGCGTGGTCCTTCTCCGATAGCGTCAGTGCTGTCCAACATTTCAGTTGGGCCAGGAGAACTGGTCAATCGAGGCATCTCCCTCCATTTTGTTTGAGAGCTCTCAAGTTTGAGAGCCGTCAAGATCGAACTCCCTCGGGAATGACCCCGGTTCCTTCAGTAAACGAGTTGTCCAATCTGAAGGCGGCTTTGCTTGGTTTAGTCGCCGTGCTGGATCGCCATGGCTTGCACGGATTAAATGAGGCCGAGGTTTTTGCTCGTCAGAGTGGCACAAACAATTCCAAGTCTCTCTCCACCTTGTATTTTCCTTGCAAAGCCACGCCATCATGCATGCCGATCGAGCTACTGTAGGAAGCTTTCTCTGCCTTGCATGTCATCGAGCTACTGTAGGAGGCTTTCTTTGCCTTGCAAGATAGTTGCCTTCTTGTGCCAGCTGTTTTGTCATGCCATTTTTGGACGATCTGATTGCAGACCATTTTTTTGCCAAGCACTTACTTACGTTTCTGTCTCAGCGGCAGGAGCGATTATGGCATTAGTGCTGCTTTTCGTTCATGGTTTGACTATAGACACCATTGAATTGACCAGACAAACATATTTACACGCTGACGCGACACAGCCGGCCACCGGGCACCTTGCCCTGCCCGTTCTGTCACTTCCCTTTCCTGTAAGTCCGATGAGTAGATGTTAAGATCTTAAAATTCTAAAAACTTTGAGATTCTAAGGGTCTCAGATTGGAAGACTTTCGGAAGTTAAGGTTTCAATGGTTGAAGAATTAAGGTTTTAAGATTCAAAGATTTAAGGCTTTTGAAGGTTATAACAGCCAGGCCATTGCCCAGCCATTTTCAATCCAAGGCTTTAAGATTGTATTTTTTGTGAGATTTTCAGATTTGGCGATTTGCGGAATTTAAGATTTTAAGATCTTAAGATGTCAAGACTTCAAAATTTGAAGATTAAGAGGTTAAGGAATTTAGAATATTGCCCGGATTGAAGGAATTTTATTATATTTTACTTGTTTATGAATTTAAGATTTTCAGATTGCAATAGTTCGAGATTTAAAGAATTTAAGTTTTTGAAGCTTTTAAGATTCTGAGATTTTAAGATTTTGAGAATTTAGGAGTTTCATATTGTAAGATTTTAACATCTGAAGATTCAAAGACATGAGGGTTTCTGTCACTTCCCTTTCCTGTAAGTCCGATGAGTAGATGTTAAGATTTCAAAATTATAAAAACTTTGAGATTCTAAGGGTCTCAGATTTGAAGACTTTCGGAATTTAAGGTTTCAATGGTTGAAGAATTCAGGTTTTAAGATTCGAAGATTTAAGGCTTTTGAAGGTTATAACAGCCAAGCCATTGCCCAGCCATTTACCATCCATTATCAGATTTCGAAGGCTTGAAGATTCTATTTTTGTGAGATTTTCAGATTTGGCGACTTTCGGAATTTAAGATTTTAAGATCTTAAGATGTCAAGACTTCAAAATTTGAAGATTAAGAGTTTAAGGAATTTGGAATAATATAGCCCGTATTGAAGGAATTTTATTATATTTTACTTGTTTATGAATTTAAGATTTTCAGACTGCAATAGTTCGAGATTTAAAGAATTTAAGTTTTTGAAGCTTTTAAGATTCTGAGATTTTAAGATTTTGAGAATTTAGGAGTTTCATATTTTAAGATTTTAACATCTGCAGATTCAAACACATGAGGGTTTCTGTCACTTCCCTTTCCTGTAAGTCCGATGAGTAGATGTTAAGATTTCAAAATTCTAAAAACTTTGAGATTCTAAGGGTCTCAGATTTGAAGACTTTCGGAATTTAAGGTTTCAATGGTTTAAGAATTAAGGTTCTAAGATTTCATATTTTAAGAGTTTAAGATCTCAAGATTCTAAGACATAAGGTTTTTAAGATTTCAAGATTCGAAGACTTTAGGAAGTTTTTATATTTTTAGATTTTAAGATTCTAAGTTCTAAGATTTTAAGATCTTGAGATTCTAAGATTGATTGTTAGATTTTAATTTAAGATTTTAAGAATCTAAGACTTTAGGATTTTGAGATTTCAATCCAGGCCATTTTCCATCCATTTCCATCCACTTTAGATTTTCAGGTTGCACGTTTTCGGCAAAATTGGCACGACTTAGGGGACACCATCACCAGCATCCCCGCATCGCCAGCATGCATAACATCATCAGCATCATCCGGGATGATGCTGGCAATGCTGGGGGTGTTGTCCAGTATTAGGCACCCCCTAAAAACGCTCGTTTTTGGACGCCGCGGGGAGATGCTACAAAAATCGCCGAAACCAATCCGCAAATCCTTCGCCCCTTATAAGGGCGGGCCCAGCGCAAAACCTACCTTCATGGTCCGCTCATGGTCGGCGGCATGGGGCGCACGACCTTATACCTGAAGGTAAGCCCTACCGCGCTTTGGCCTGCGGCCCGATCACGTCCGGTGGCCGGATTTACACGCTGACGCGACACAGCCGGCCACCGGGCACCTTGCCCTGCTCGTTCTGTCACTTCCCTTTCCTGTAAGTCCGATTAGTAGATGTGAAGATTTTCAGATTCTAAAACTTTGAGATTCTAAGGGTCTCAGATTTGAAGACTGTCGGAATTTAAGGTTTCAATGGTTTAAGAATTAAGGTTTTAAGATTCAAAGATTTAAAGTTTTTGAAGGTTATAACAGCCAGGCCATTGCCCAGCCATTTTCCATCTATTATCAGATTTCGAAGGCTTTAAGATTTTATTTTTCGGAGATTTTCAGATTTGGCGACTTTCGGAATTCAAGATTTTAAGATCTCAAGATTTCAAGGCTTCAAAGTTTCAAGATTAAGAGTTTAAGGAATTTAAAATATAGCCCGGATTGAAGGAATCTTATTATGTTTTACTTGCTTCTGAAGTTAAGATTTTCAGATTGCAATAGTTCGAGATTTAAAGAATTTCAGTTTTGAAAGCTTCTGAGATTTTAAGACTTTGAGAATTTAGGAAGTTCATATTTTTAGATTTTAACATCTGAAGAATCAAAGACATGAGGGTTTTAAGAAGTCAAGATTCGAAGACTTTAGGATGTTTATATTTTCAGATTGTAAGATTCGATCTTCTAAGGTTGTAAGTTTAAGATCTTGAGGTTTCAAGATTTCCAAATTTCAAGAGTAAGAGTTTAAGACTGTAGGAATTTCATATTTTAAGAGTTTAAGATCGCAAGATTCTAAGACATAAGGGTTTTAAGATTTCAAGATTCGAAGACTTTAGGATGTTTTTATATTTTCAGATTTTAAGATTCTAAGTTCGAAGATTTTAAGATCTCGAGATTCTAAGATTGATTGTTAGATTTTAATTTAAGATTTTAAGAATCTAAGACTTTAGGATTTTGAGATTTCAATCCAGGCCATTTTCCATCCATTTTCCATCCACTTTAAGATTTTAAGATTTTCAGGTTGCACGTTTTCGGCAAAGTTGGCCCGACTTAGGGGACAACATCCCCAGCATCCCCCGAGACTTTAGGATGTTTTTATATTTTCAGATTTTAAGATTCTAAGTTCGAAGATTTTAAGATCTCGAGATTCTAAGATTGATTGTTAGATTTTAATTTAAGATTTTAAGAATCTAAGACTTTAGGATTTTGAGATTTCAATCCAGGCCATTTTCCATCCATTTTCCATCCACTTTAAGATTTTAAGATTTTCAGGTTGCACGTTTTCGGCAAAGTTGGCCCGACTTAGGGGACAACATCCCCAGCATCCCCCGAGACTTTAGGATGTTTTTATATTTTCAGATTTTAAGCTTTAGGATTTTGAGATTTCAATCCAGGCCATTTTCCATCCATTTTCCATCCACTTTAAGATTTTAAGATTTTCAGGTTGCACGTTTTCGGCAAAGTTGGCCCGACTTAGGGGACAACATCCCCAGCATCCCCCGAGACTTTAGGATGTTTTTATATTTTCAGATTTTAAGATTCTAAGTTCGAAGATTTTAAGATCTCGAGATTCTAAGATTGATTGTTAGATTTTAGTTTAAGATTTTAAGAATCTAAGACTTTAGGATTTTGAGATTTCAATTCCATCCATTTTCCATCCACTTTAAGTTTTAAGATTTTCAGGTTGCACGTTTTCGGCAAAGTTGGCCCGACTTCGGGGACAACATCCCCAGCATCCCCCGCATCACCGGCATCATCCGCATCAATGTCCGCCAAGGATGCGGATGATGCAGGTGATGCCGGGGATGCTG